CTTGGGCAAATTAACATTTATAGTCGGGGCAAAGTTATGCAAAGCGGCAGTGGGTGAAGCTAACGGTTGCGACATTGTCATATTGACACTCGCATTAGCGATTGCTTCATTTTTAATGAATTGATTGAAGATACTCTTCGTAGTATAATACTTTTCATCTATTTCGCTTCGAATTTCTTCTTCGCCATCCCATTTGTCCTCAGACATATCCTTATGAAAAACTATTGTCATGTGAATTTTTTCGAAATCTTGATAATAAGAGGGAATAGCCTCATAGCGTGTCTTAAAATATTCTTGCGTTGTCTCATCTGCGATCGCTTTATTAGCAATATCGTAGACTTCAGAAATTCGTTTGATAAGAATTTTGCGTTGGGCAGTGAGAATTGTTAAATCTTCTGACATATTGCCAAAAAAAAAAAAATTGAAATCAAATTTAAATTAAATTAAATCGAATAGTACCTACTATCTAGCAAAATCCGTTCTTTTCCTGAATTTGCATTTGGGCAAGGCAAAAAAAAGAAAGAATTTCAAGCTTGGAATGTTTATGTTCAAATAAACAAGTTTTTTTTTTTTTTTTGCTCTGCTCTTGAGGTTCAATTTACAACTTCTATGGATTTTCTGATAAAAAAGTTTTCGTTCTACTGGCCAAATTACAATAATTAATGCCTTTTATGTTTTATTTTGTCTAAAACACAAACCGAGAATAATTAAAACACTTGCAGTTTCTTGCTAAGAATGATGTATAACGCGAATGAATTTCAACAAAATGAAAAAAATCAAATAAAATACTTTCAATTAATCGATTAATTGCAATAATTAACCAGTTAATCAATTTAAGCACCAGAACAAAATAAGAAATTTGGCTCGTTAAGGATCAAAATGTTTTGCGGGTAGCTAATACGTAATGTCTTAGCTGGTAGTGGACTGTATTTACTTTGCGGCGCAACCTCTAAATAATGATAAAAAGAACTTACCCAATGATTCCATAAGTGCACTCCTGCAGGGACCCTGCTTTACACACGCGCTGCGGATTATGGTGTTCCCAATTACGGGTTATGTAACTTTGTAGAAGGTTGATACGAGAGGACTTCACAATGAAGTTTTTGAGATTAGAAATATTGCGACCGGGTTAAGCCGTACGACGACGCGCCCGTGTCGTCTCATCGAGTTTCTTAGCAAATCTGTCCCATTACTCGCTTCTGGTACGTCCACTATCAAAATCTAGAGGTACGACTTTTTTTGCGCGAAACAAAACAAAAAAATGCGAGCAAACAGGAATTTTGCACCTTTGCCAAATTGTATAAAATTTATTTAGAATAAAGACGAAACAGTTTATATTTTCCCATTCTAATCCTATCTTATTTTAGGCTGGAAACCTGATGTTTTCAAAGTTGCACAATGGAAACCTCTACAAAAATATGGATAACGAATGCTGATTTACCTGATTCCTAGAACAGAACACAGAACAGAGAACAAAATATGTAGTGAAAACTCAAAAAGATGGTAATTATTTTGCTCTATATACGATCATATCCTATCTCAAATCAATCTTATTTTCAGAGATCCCTAGAAGCTGTGGATATCTTCATGGAGAATAATTATTGTAATTGTTATGTGGAATATATATTGTAGATTGTATACTAGTAGTTTCCTTTTTTCAGTGCTAGGCAAAATCAGGCATTGACAGAGTAGTAAAAGACCAAAGGCAGCATAAATATGTCCTAACTTGATTGACTGAAAATTCGACAGGTAACAATGGGTGCTGAACCCGTATTCAGCGTATCAAAAATCTCGCTACTTGGCTATACTTGGACAAGTGGATCCGAGAAGAATACAAACACTTGGAGGAGGAATCGGTCCAGGAGGAGGGTCCCCTAAAGTCGCCAATAAAGAGGCTACTGCACCTGGCGAAGGTGTCGAACAATTACAACCCATATAACAGTGAAAGAACATTCATATTCTCAGAATATTCCCTCAAAGTACTTTTTGGAATGTTCTTTTAGGAATGTTCAATGAATATTCTAAGATTGTTTCGATTGAAATATTCATTTTTGAACGTTCTATTTATGTACTAGGAATGTTGCTTCTATGCACCTACCTGAAAGATTGTGCTAAGAACCTACTTTATATAACATTCTTTGAATATTCTCATACGAACATTATTATAATGTACCCTAAAAAATGTTCTTTAAGCTAATATCTCTATCAAGTATTAAGAATATACCTACCAAGTTGTGCTGAGAAGTTTATGTAGGTAGGTAACCATGATAAGAATATTTTCATATTGTTCACCTAATTATCTAAAGTACCTAATCAAAAATCTTAATTATACAATTAAACAATAATGTTCTATCTAGAACCTACTAAGAATATTATAGGTATATTCTTTTTCTTTTGCTTTGTATGACTTCCAAGAGAGGGAGCGACGCGCTATTAAAGATCTACATCTTGCCTCGCATTTGAATCACCTTGGAACCTGTTTTTCTCAGTTGGCGTGCTTCGACGAGAGCATAACAAGCTCGAAACCGGAGCTTTGGTTAAATACTCGTGTTTTCTAGAGAAGTTTTCCAACAACTCTTTCACTGCCTTCAACATAAAAGGGCTGAAACGAGTATTATTTGGAAACGAAAATTAACATTCCAAGTATATCCTTAGAATCAAACAAGAATGTTATGTCTAGGATGCATATTGAGAATGATATATGTAGATATGTTCTAAGAATATTTCAAGCATATTGGTATAATATTCTTTTGAGAACATAACTATAATGTCATAGAAACATTCTTTGAATGTGAGAATATAGGTACGTTTCGAGCATATGTTTAGAATCAAACAGGAATATTCTTTTCAGGATGTACTGAGACTCTCATAGGTATATTCTAGGAATATCCTAATGGATTTCCCAGGAAGTTCTTGGGTATTGCAAACAGTATTTCTACAATCTTTTCTCAGAACATTCTCAGGACATTCGCAATGGTTTTGGCGAACATTCTAGGCACATTCCTCCTAAAAAAAGAACATTCTTAATACATTCTAAGAATGCAATTTTGTTATGTGGGAATAAGCTAACTAGCTGCAGTGTCAGGGAATCACTAAACCTTGCCTTGCTACCGTTGATCAAATCAATCAAAGACCACAGAGAAAGAGAGAAAGGTTCCTGAAACATTGAAAGGATTATGTTACAGCAGTTATTAACACAGAAGAAGAAGAAGAAGAAGAAGAAGATCCTTTTGATGTTGATGATGCTCTTAATCGGTCAGCTAAAGAACAATAGAAAAAGGACATGCGAGATGAATATGATGCACAAATTGAAAAGAGCACATGGGAATCTTCCACAAAACAAAGAAATGGAAGAAATGAAGAAAATCAAGTTAATATTAAAGCTCCATTAGTAATTAATGAAGGTTGTGCTCAGAAAAAAGGCATCGAGTTTGAGGAAACATATTATACTCACCAGTTATTCGATATACTTAAATACGATTTCTTTTAGAACTAGCCGCTGAAGAAGATTTAGATATTAGACAAGCCGAATGCAGTCACAGCATTTTACAAGGAGAGTTGACTGAAGAAATTGACTGTCTATGGATTGAAGCCAGCAAGTAGGGTGTAAAATCAAAAGTTAGACAAATTTATGTAAAATATTGGTTTAAAGCACAGTCAGTCAGTCAGATTCTTGTATGTATTAGAAAATAAATGAAAAAGTAAAACTAATAGTTGGAATTTATGTGGATGATATTATTCTTTTGTCAAATGACCAAAAGGCAAAAGTAGAACTGAAAAATCAACTACTCAGAAGAATATTGATTGGATCTGATCGGAGATATATTACAGGCTACAGACTTCGCAAAATAAATTGACGATAAAGCAATTTGCGCAGTAGACAAAAATTGTTAGGTAGGGGTGTAACGGCGTAACTGATAATATAACTGGTTAGTGGTTTGTATACAGCTTTAGCTTTTCCTGGGACAGAAAGAAGGACCAACGTTTACGCCTACCTGCGCCAGATCATCTCGACAAGTTATTCTGCGGGGCCTATACATTTGATGAAAAATGGTTCACCAATATCCTAGAATAGTAAAAAACAGCCTACTGTGGCGTTGTCTATGCATGCATGGCAATGGCAGCACAAGAGGCTCTATGGTTCAGAGGTCTCAGTAAAAAATTTAATTGCACTGAAGAACCAACATTGTTATATGTGGATAACCAATGGGCGCAGAAATTCGCACCAAATGAGGGTTATCAATCCAGAACGAAGCATTGTAACAGACGTCCGTCATATTTTTTTTGAAAAATAAATAAATAAATAATGGAATTCTTAAATTAAAATATGTGCCAATTCAGATTATGTTAGCTGGTTTTTTTACAAAGGCAGAGAGTGGTCTGCTCACTGGGCATTGTCGGTGAAATATCACCTTAAAACAATAGACAAATCAGACAACAACCACTGCAAATCTACAGAACATTCAATCTGTGAATGACCTGCTCAGTACTTCTGCATAGGCTGAAATACCTTGAAGGGGTACGGCTACCGGCCCAAGAAGTGGGCGCTTTACCACCCAGAAAGCTAACCTCCTTTGGGAGAAACCTGCAACACTTATTCCACCGTTCAAATCACTCCAAATCTATGAAGCGCTATAAAAGGACATAGGTTAACGAAGTGTTATGGTGCTAGTTTCGTTGTGATTTTTGTGTTATTGTCCTGTATTGAGGTGAATCAATTTTGGTCATCTACAAACCCGTTCTAGTTTTCGTAATAATATCGTGAAGACGTTAAAGCTTTTTCAAACAATATGAGTAATTTGATAATATTCTATTGGTACTTAGACGATTTTTCTGTTTTTTTGAATAACTGTTGAAATCTACTTCAAATAAATCATTTTTGAATTGAAAGCTTTGAAGTAGGCGAAGCAATTATTTTTAGGTATTTATATTAGAATTATTAGGAACAAAGAAAAGGGTATCATAATTTTAATTGAACAATAAATCACTGAAATTCTTACCTAGGACGTCCACTCCAAAATAAGTAGGACACTCCAATTTCAAACATTTCATTTCCCCATCACTATGGCACTTGCACAAAGATTCACAGCCGTTGTTGTGTTCTTCGTTAATTTTGAATGTTTTTCCTTTATACTCGCAACTTTTGGCATCTTCTTTCATCATCGAAGCTTTATTTTTGTTCGATTCTTTTTCATCTTTAATGACGTCTTTACTAGCTCGATTTTTCTCTTTTGCATTTTCGATTTGTGTGACTTCGACAGTTTCTTCTGTGTTTTCTAGCCGGAGGTACTTGAAATGTTCTCGTACGTAAAGTTCGCCTTTTGGGAATAGTTGGTAGTAATTCCATTCTTCTTTGTCGTTGCTAACCTCTAAGAACAAGAATGGATTAAAAAAATTATATTATACAATTTTATCATCATTTTGAAAACTGTAAAATGTTCATGTTACTGAACAAGAATTAGGTGGGCACATCATTTTAAAAAAGTACTGGATAAGGATGATTTCAATAGAATATTAAGCTCTACAAATTCTTACCGACAATTGGCAAATTTGCATCATCGTCATCATACTTTGGTTCGATATCCAATATAATAACTGAAGAATTAGCTTGAAAAGCCGATATTATTTTATGTTTATTCGCAGGTTTGCCCGCTTCTTCTTTTTCATGATCCTGATGATCGTCCAGAGTGACATCGCAAAGGACTTTTTTGCAGCAACCATCGTTCGGGTCTGGGATTTCTACGCAACTGTCTGAGGTTTTTGCCGAATGCGGACATCTGAAAAATAACTTTCACTTTATTGTGAATTTCAATTTCTCACGATAATTAATTAGATAATTGAATTAATTATAAGATTTGAAGCATTTTAGATGTGGTAAATTGTTGAGAGCTTTTCATGAATTGGTAATTGATTTCATTGTTTTCATGTCTTGCTTTTGAATAATTACCGTTTACAGATTAAATGTTTATAATAATATCTGTAAACAACAATAAGGATACAAAAACCAGTATAATAAACTTCAGTTTACTTGTGCGGTGATGGTTCAAGGAATTGTACTTAGGTACTAATTTATTGTTGATTTTTATTTATAACTTTTTGATGTGGTAATTGCAATTGCATTATGGTATGAATGGACAATGTAGTAGGGTATTGATTGAATGTATTGAAAACATATCAATATTTATATTTCATTTATGTAGGCAATATTTATGACATTAAGTAAGTTTTGAACTTATTTTATTCAATTTTAGCTGCCGACACTCATCCTTCATATCTGTAACAACTAACAATGGATATAGTTTTACCTTTCAACTTACTTATTATAGGTATCAATAGGTACATTTTATTTTACCTGGCTTTGCAGCTAAATTTCCCAGCTGCTTCGCAGATACAAACTTCTGAGCAGTCCTTGTTGAACGTGTCGCCTCTGTTGTAAGTCTTGTTGTCGTAATTACACATTTCCAATGGTTCAGTCTCTAAAAAGAAATGTATATCTAAGAAAACACGTAAAATGCATAAAATAAAATTTGTATGTTTAAATTTGAAATTGATAACTATTTTGATTATCTTTGAAATACGTGAAAGTTTCACCTGCTTAACAAAAACATTGTTTTCACTTTCGGTTTTTACCATGACTTACGAAGAAATGTATAGCATATCTCGACGAATTATGAAAAAATTAGAGGATGATATTGGAAGGATAATGATATTAAGTTGATAAATCCTTAGTTCCATACCTGTGTCGCCAGCACAAACCATAATGGCACAACAAGGATCATCGGTAGCTTTTTCCGAGCAAAGAGGATCGTCTATTCGTTTTCCCTTTCTAATAAACGGTCTCGAGCATCTGTCTTCGCAGTCCATTTTCCCATGTACGCAAGTGCAGATCGAGTCGCAGTCGATTTCTAGTTTTTCGCCGTTGTCGTAGGTCAGACCTCCTTTTTCACATATATCTGAAATAATGATTTTGTTAGTTTTGTGATTCAATTAATTACCTACTTAATTTTTATGGTCAGTGTAATTTTTGAAGATACATAATATTCTGGTTGTGAAACTTGTTGCTGTAGGGCTTAGATAATAAATACATTTTATCCAGGCATGTTGTACCTACATATAATACATAGAGAAGCCAAGTAGTATGATGGAACTTGTATGTTTTTAAAAGGCATGCTAATAGGTCGTATACATTTTGATTTCTGTATAGCCTTGAAAAAACAATGAATTTTTATTCTTTGATTTTCCTATTATAATAAACCAGTTACCTACTACTAAACTACAAAAAAATTTATCAAAACAATGTCGGATAAGTTTATATTTCATAACGTCGTGGGTAGATTTATTATGAAGATTATAAAAGGCGCATTCAAGTTGGGCTTTTAGCTAATGTGGAAACAATGTGGGAAGGCCTCCATTTAATAGGTTTATGTGCTTTCACGTACAATACTGGCCCGGAGTGTTAATTAGAAATTTAGACAAAAAAGATTTACCAGACAAGAATCACCGCCTGTATGTTTTATACATGTAATGTACCTATTTTAGCCTACTTTTGGATGTCTCAAATAATGTTTATTGTGTTATTTTTTCTTAAAAGCGAATAGATTTGTAGGCTACACCTGGTTAAATGTATTTGTTATAATAAATCAAACGTAAAGAAGTTTATAAATGTGATAATAACGGGTCTTCAAAAAAAAAATCAAAGAGTGCTTTGATTACGAAAACGTATGTCGCATTATTGTTTCTTTATTGATCCAGGATGTTTGACATATCACAAAATTGAAGAAAAATATAAATAAGACATAGGTATGTTCAAAAAATCTAGCCATCTTTGACTTATTATTATTAAGAGACGTTGTGAAATGAATGCAAAATAAATCAGTGCATGATAGTTTAACCATTGGTAGTTCACAGATTTCCTTCGAGATTTTTGAGAGTAATTTCATTGATATATAAAGATATTTCAAAATTGTAAGCTTTGTCTAAACTTCCACACTATTTACTTATCCACATTATTATTATTATTATCATTATTATGATCTCTCTTTTTCTCCCTTTGCACAAAGTGGTGTTTCTAAGTTGACGGGCTCTTACCAAGTCTTCTCAGAGTCTATTTCCCGAACTGAAGAATGAGCGTACTAAAAATTCAATAAATTAATAGTTTAATCAAACCGAGCTTAGTTGTGTGTCGTGCAATGTCAGGTCAAATGATCGGAGTTTATTTTTGAATCTCAGTTTTATTAAACTTGGACTAACAGAATCTTGGTGCAACTAGCCATTTTAGTGGATCACCTTGGAAGATACCCCGTGGGATGTATAGTTCATCTGTATGCAAGGTTCTGATTCTGATGTCATTGTAATTTTAGTTCTCCAAGTTCTCATTATTTCTGTCGGAAATTGTTTGAGCTTTGTGTCTACTCTGTAGGTGTCTAATATTCTTATTAGCCAGCTATATGAGGTACGGAGTCAAACCCCTTTTTATAAGTAGTATGTAGCAGGTATGTAAATGTTTGCGTTCTTTTTCGGTTTGTTTTAAAATGACCGAGTCTATTATTAATTGCTTTTTACATCCTTGGCTGAATTTTCTGCATCCTTTTTGTTCTTCTTTGAGTATGTTATATTCTAAATGTTTTTCTATTTTTTACACGTGGTAGTGGTAATTATTTTGTATAGTGTATAGGGAAGCATGTTATTGTCATGTCATCTGTAGTCAGCTAGATTCTTTGTGTCTACGTTTTTCGGTTTAATATATGTACCTATTGCCCTGTGTCAGGAATTTTGGGAATGTGGTTTGGGTGGCGGATGCTTTTATCTATATTTATCTGGTTAGTGATTCGTGTGGTTGTGAGCTGCTTGTACCAGAAATTTTGTATTTTATCTGGTCCTGAACAGTTCCAATTACGAGTTTTTTTGATGGTCTCTAAGAGTTCTTCTTTGTGATTGTATGTGATTGTATCTTCCTGTTTCTGTTATTGCTATCTTTGTCTTGTAGAGGTACACCCCATATGTTTGACCAGAAATCTGTTAGTTCTTGCTTAGTAGGTATCTCTTTTATCAACTTCTGGGGGTAATATGGTTTTATGAAAATGCTTTTCCTTTCTTTTGAAGGCTATCTCCGTAATCTGCCGGCGTAAACAGCAAGTTTTTGTTTCATGGTGTCGAAGGTTTCTGATTCTGCTTAAGGCCGTTTTACAGCTTGCAATTCTATCTGCAATATGCGAGAAACTTGAACGAGAGCATGCGCAGAAGTGAGTCAGCTGATTGTTTTCTGCAAGATTCTTGAAACTTGAATGGCATTGCATGCAATCGGTTTGGTGCCATTTTTGTTGAAAGTTTTCGCGCAAGCAGGGGAATTTTTAGCAATTATGATGCTTAAAGTGGCTGCTATTGCTTTCTTCTTTTTATATCGACTTATAATCGCTTTTTTTCATTTTTGGAAAATGCAAACTTCAACAACACAAAATTAAAAACAAAAAAGTATGGTTAAGGTTAGAGAAGGAAACAAATCAAATTGCAAGGTGTAAAACGACGTACAAGAAATCTTGAATGCATTTTTTTTGCATGCAAACGGTTGCATTCGAGTTTTCTTGCAAGCTGTAAAACGGCCTTTAGTGAAGCGTTATTTTTTATTATCTTCCTAATTGTTTTTTTTTTTCTATTTTTCCTGATGTATTGCTCTTTAAGTGTTGAGTCATGTGTCCTATATCTCTTCTTAGATTTCCAATTTTATTTTCTATTCCGAGTTTGCCTTTTCGGTTTATGTTTTTCTATTGTTTTCCCTGTTTGCTGTGGTATTTTCTGGTCGTTATGTTTAATTATTGTGATTGTTGCTTTGTATATGAGCGTTTGGATGTTTTTTAATGAGCTATTGTGTGTTAGGTATTTAGAAATTAGAGTGTTTTTTGTGCTGATGATTAGGGAAGTTTTAGGTTTAAATATAAGCCTTGGGATGGGGTTTCTTAGGTTAGGGTTTGTTACCTGCCAGTGTGATAGGTTAATTTTCATTTCTTTGTTGAGAGTCTCCTCTAGCTGCAGGTTTTCATCCACTTTTGGGTGCATGGATACTTCAGGTGGCTGAGCTATTAGTTGTATTTCGCCAGTGCCATCTTTTGTATGTTCTGCCATTTCAATATTCAAATTTGTTTCTTCACTATCATCAATGATATCATTGAGCTCCTCAGCGACTTCCCTCTTAATCATTGCAAGTTCTACGGCTGTAAGTCTTTTATTTTTCAAAATTACTCTTTTTTGCTCTATTAGGCGTTGTTTTGTTACAATTTTTGATAGTTCTGGGTAAGTTTCGAGGAAGAGTTTGTGTAATTCGTGTCTGTATCCTGTCTGGATGGTTTCCAATTTGGTTGTTTTGTAGTAACAACGCATGAAAGTTCTATTCAGTTGGCTGTTCCATGTCATCCGTTGTCGTGTAATGCCAGCCTTTTTGGTTGCTGGGAGTCCAGGCAAAGTACGTTTGGCTGGTGTACCATTTTGTTCTTGGTTTGAATCACTGATATTGCGGTTTGTATCGTATTCTTGTTTAAGTAGTTCGAAATGTCCTGCTGACGGGTTGCTAATGAGTAATAGATGTATATGTGTATAGTCAATGTTATGGTTATACCTAATTGTTGGTTTGGTCTTTATTGTTATCCTTTTTGATTTCGTTGTTCTATTTTTCGAGTATATAAGAAAATTAGGTTTCAATATTTCTGACAGCGCTAAGATTTCCAGACTTGTTCCGTATGTTGTTGTTTTTTTCAGGTGGGTATACAGTAGTTGTCTATGTCACTTAGTTCAGGGCTTTCAATTGATGCAAATTATTTAAATTCATCCCAATGTTTTTTAGGATAGTTTAAAGACTTTTCTCTTAATTCTTTGGTCATACAAAAATTTGCTTACTGCTCTGAAGAGACAGCTTCCAGCCCCAACAATATCCACTCGCAGAAAGGTTGCTGTGTTTTGGTACTGATTGGTATTCAGATTAAGGTTGAAGTCGGCTGTAGGTTTTTAAATGACAGTAGACCGCCTGTTTAAAGCTGTCACCGATGTCCCGCAAGCTGTCGAGTTAAACACTCTTCCGTGCACGAACCAGTGCTATGTTGAAATACTCAACTGGGAGGGACCGTGTTGCCGGTAACGGTGTACCGTGAATCATCCTTTTAGCGTCGGCTCCAAACCCGGCGCCCTGGTGATCCCCAGGCAGCGACTTGTTTACGTATTTATTATTCTCCATATTTTCAAGGGGTCTCTGGCTGCATCGCCTGCGCGTTGCGGTGGCATGCAACATACTACTGGCTGCAGCGCTGTCATGGCCAGACACTATTATTATTATTATTATTATTATTATTATTATTATTATTATTGGGAGCAATATAAAGCGGTCTATACTGATAAACCGATAAGCTTATTGCAATTATGTAATGTTTTTTCTTTGTACAGGGTGATCTATTATAAATGTCACTCCATTCTAACTTTTTCATTTGTCAGTTTTAGGCATACAGGGTGCGTCAAAAAAGTGCAGCAGTGTGAAGTTATATATTTTTTTTTAATGGAACACCCTGTATATTGTGCACTTATTTGTTAGTCCCCTTTAACCTGATTTCACCGATATACGGTTTGATATGTCTATCTTCAATAGTTATAGGGAAAAACATGAAAACCCCTTTCAAAGTTTCATATTGAAAAAAGAAAAATTATACCATTCAAGCTTTAGATAATTTTTTTATTAACAGTTTATTGTTCAAATTTTATTCATTAATATACAAGGTGAACTATTATAATAAATCCAGATGTCCAAGTCAATATTTTTATTTTAAAAAAAATAGTATATTAAAGTATAAGTGGATATTGGTACCTATACGTTCAAATCAAAAATTACTAATAATTGTGGAATGCTAAATTCGTTGACACTTGCTATATTTTACTTGACGTTGTCTACAGGTCTACTCCTGACAAATCAATAATT